CCATCTAGTTTCTGAGGCTCGGTTTAAGAAACAGCATATGGTGACATCTATGCTAGGTAATTGGATAAGTGATTATGCTGTACTCCGTTGTGACTTACAGGACTTATTGTACCTACAGGAGTCGTAGGGCTGGAGGTGGTGTGGCGAGGTTTATCAGGAAACCTCTAAACTCCACAACGATACTGTCTAAATCTATACCTAAGGGCTATAAATTTTAGCCGCGGATTTAATGCATCTGGAGTTCTGTGTTAGGCTTGTCGTAGTTTACAGACCACCTTCCACTTCTTATATCAATGAGCTATTAGCTAAAGTCATTAGCGACCTAACTGCAGTCGCATTCTCCTGTGGTTGTCGTAGGTGACTTCACCCTCCCAGAGGTCAATAGGGCCGATTGGAATGTTTCCAAGGACATTGCACACCCTCTGTCCAATACTTTTGCTTGTCACGGATTCGCGCAGTACATTAAGGAGCCCACTAGAGGTTCGAGCATCCTAGATTTGCTTTTCTGCAATGACTTGAACCTTATAAGTAACGTTTTAGTTAAGTCATCAATTGGCGACAGCGACCACCTAAGCATCACTTTTGACATCACCGGAGTTGAGTTACCTTGTGTGCCCGTTTTCAAAAGGCTATTTTCCAAATGTGATTATTCCCTTGTTACGAACTACCTCTTTAGCGTACTATGGGTCGACTCCTTTGAGTCGGTTTCTACCGTGGATGAGAAATATTTGATGTTTCTGACTATTCTCCGACATGCCATACAATTGTATGTCCCCTGGGCCTACTTTTTCCTAGCAGGAGTAATTTACCCTCATATCTTCAAAATATGATGATTATAAGGAGTGCCTTTTGCAATACGCCAAACGAATTCAAATTCTTTGGACAGAATTCAGAGCTTTTTCACAGAAGTTTTCTGAGAAACTATGCAAATACAATAAGAGTATGGAAAAGAAAATAGTTGAAGCAAAGGATAAGCAACGTTTCTTCAAATATCTGGGATCTAAGCTCCGGGAAAGGCCGAATTTTTATGGTCTGGATATTAATGGGAGGATTCTACTGAATGATCATAATAAGGCAATGCTTTTGCCTTATTAGAGAGTTTATTAGAGAGGTTTCCAAAGCATACCACCAGGATAACAATAAACTCCCACATTTTGCTCCCACAGTGGGCTCCAAGGTGCAAACGTTTCCTTATTTTGACCCCAATGATATCTTTTATTTTTTGATGAGATGGCCTTCCTCGTATTCGATCACGCCTGATGAAATCCCCTTTGCATTTGTTGAAGAATGTTGCCCATGCTATTGCTTTTCCACTTTCTTATTTATTCAACCATGTATTCACAAGTGCCTCGTCTCTAGAGGCACTCATATATTACCCCTAGACCTAAAAATGATGCTTCTTCGGACATTTCCAACTATAGACCAATTAGTATTACATCCATTTTCTCTAGGCTGTTTGAAAAAATTCTTAAAGCTCACATACTCCGTTATCTAGCCGAAAACAATATAATACCATCCTCACAACATGGTTTCGTTGAAGGGAAATCAGTGAATCACGAATCTGTTAGAATCGCTCAATGATTGGACGATAGCCTTAGACAATAAACACAGCGAGGACAATCTATTTTGATTTCACAAA